TGCATCTGGGGAGGGCTGCTTTGGCATGCACCATGACGATGTGACGCCGCAGGTGAGCGTGCGGCTCAGATACTGGCACGCGAAATGGTCCTCGCCATTGAGAGGGTGTGTGTGTGTGTGTGTCTGTGTGTCTGTCTGTGTCTGTGTCTGTCTGTGTCTGTCTGTGTGTGTTTGTGAAAGTGAGAGCTCCACGCACTGTGCGCCCTCCCCCACCAACAACAACAACACGCGCTTACTCTCACACGTACGTGGATGTGCAGGCGCGTGATACGGGCTTGTTCCGTGCGTTTGTTGACAAGAGCGATGTGCAGGCTGTCTTTGTGGGCCACAACCACGGCAACGACTGGTGTTGCAGCCTCTCCGGGTTGTGGCTTTGCTACGGGCGACACACGTGAGTGAACTTTTAACTTCCACTCCCTCCCGTGCATCGTCACAGCACGCTTCGTCTCATGTTGCACACAACACACGCGACATACACACGCGCGCACACAACAGTGGGTATGGCGGGTACGGCCACTGGCGTCGCGGTGCGCGCGTGATTGTGCTGAGTGAGGACTCGCCCCATATCGAGACGTACATTCGCATGGAGGACGGCTCCATCTTGCACAGTGGCATCCTCACCTAGCCGAAGCGGTTGTTTGATTTTGTCTGTCGGTGTGCCTGTCCGTGTCTGTGTGTATCTTGATATGTGTGTGCTGTGTGTCTGTGTGCCTGTCCGTGTCTGTGTGTGCTGTGTCTGTGTGTGTGTGTGTGTGTGTGTGTGTCTGTGTGTGTGTCTGTGTCTGTGTCTGTGTCTGTGTGCCTGTGTCTGTGTGTGTGTCTGTGTGTAACAACTGCCCATGGTACTTTGATGTCTCTCCCACCCGTTACGGTCGTGTTACGGCGTGTGTATGATAAGTAAAGCGTTGACGCTGCACTGTCAGCACAATGCAATCAATCGACCATGAGCGGGCGAGAGGGCTGAAGAGCCTCCAACGAAACACGAGTGAAAGCAAACAAGAGTCAGAAAGCGTCATGGCGAAAGTGTCGTGGTATATCCTTGTTGTGTGGTGTGGCTGTGTGATGTGACTTGTGGTTGATCAGATGGCCGGTGGCCGAATCTCAAATGAACACGAGGAGTACTTGCTCACGCGCTTCTTCAGCTTGCGCGCGGTCGTAGGCTTGATCTTGTTGTCATACAGCCTGGTCCCATACATATGAGCATGACGTGTCGGTGTGAGTAAAGTAGGGTTTGATCGGCAGCCATTCAAAGCAGCACGAGACACGCACACACACACGTACACACACGTACACACACGTACACACACGTATACACACATGCACACACATGCACGAATACAAGCACGAATACAAGCACTACACAAACGACGACAGCATGGATGCGGATGTCTGCACTCACGCGAGGCCCTTGAGCGTGGTGTTGACTTTGAGTGCATCTGCAAACATTTCTGCACCAGGGTCATCAATCTGGTTGTCCCGCAACCTGAAAAGGTGCGTGGTGGTCGTGATCAATGGCGGTGGTGGTTGGTGGTTGTGGTGCACGACGGTGGTGGTTGTGTTGCAGGTGTAGCAGGGTGTTGCGTGGTGTGTAGTGAGTGGGGATCTTGTGGCAGTAGGGATGCTACTTGAAGCATTGATCCGACACCAGAGACAAACGCAGAGGAGAAACAAGGCCAAGATGTGACATTGCATGTGCAACTGCTGCTGTTAAGCACAGCGCAGCGCTTACGAGAGGCCGACGAGTGTGCGGTTGGAGCGAACGGCCTCCGCCAACCACTTGGCGCCCTGGCTCGTGATCTTGTTGTGCCGCAGCCTGTGGTGGTGGTGGTGGTGGTGGTAGTGATAACGGGCGCATTGTGTTGTTGCTGGCGGTGAGTACACCTGCGCTCTGCACGACTGGACGGCAGGACAAGGACAAATGACCATGCAACAACACCCATAGTGCACGCGCATCATATCCGTGTACCGCGTGTGTGCATGAGGTGCAAACCACACACGCACACACACACACACACACACACACACACACACACACACACACACACACACACACACACACACACACACACACACACACACACACACACACAAAAGGCAAGACGTTCAGGGGTAGAATAAGGGTGAAGCGGGTGGCACGCACGAGAAGAGGCGAAGTTTGTGGTTGCTTCGGATGGCCTCTGCAATCTCATCAGCACAGTCGTCGTCGACACCGTTCTCTCGAATCCTACACATCAGCGAGCAAAGTGAGGTGGTCGCAGGTAGGAGTGAGTGAGGTGGTGGTGATGATGATGATTGAGGTGAACACATGTCAGCTTTCCACTGCCGCGCACAAGTACTGGCTTTCCCAATTAGCATCGCCAAACGCACTGGAGATGGGTGATGCTGTTGTTGGCCTGGAGGGCGCGGGCAATTTGAATCACACTGTTCCTCGTCAGACCGTTGCGGTACAACCTGGTGATGGTGGTGGTGGTGGTGATATATTCGTACAATTAACAAGACATGTGGCGTATGGGTAGACCGCAAAGTGAGCGCATATCCAGGAAGAAGCAGCACATGCGACTATCATGGGGACAGCTGCGCTCGTTGCAGCGTCATGGCGCGACCACTCACAGGACGACAACGACAACAACAGCCAGAGAACGAAGGAATCAGAACCATCTACTCCCTCATCGCACACACTTCACTCCGCTCCAACCCCCCAACCCCCCAAGTCATCAATCCCACTCCTCAATATGCTGGACTGACTTGAGTTGCTCAATGCGGCACTGGGAGTGTGAGAGCTCGGCACAGAGATCATTCAGCTCCAGCTGTGACAACCGGTACTGGAAGAAGTTGATTTCTTTGCCTGCACGCAACGCCCGGCGGAACGGCGACATGTTGGGGTCGCACGGCACTGGTGACGGGGAAATGGGCAGTGTTGTGATGTCGCCGTGGTCGTGTTGGGTGGTGGTCGTGTTGGGTGTGAGAACGGAAAGAATGGGGGGCTTGGGATGGGTACTGCAGCAGGTTGTGTTTGGCGCAGTGTCGTGTGCACGCACATGAAGAGGAAGGAGAACAATATTCCAGCGCGTCTGTGCGTGCATTCAAACAGCGTTCGAAACCCCACCGTCTATTCTCGCTCATGCGCACATGAGAACACACACGCGCGCGCGCATGCACACATACACACATGGACACACGCACGCGCTCTTTCTGCACATGCGCTCGTCGTGCCACTGACGCAATACCTGCTCTGACGTACTCGTCCATAACAAACTTCCCATGTCGGTTTGCAATGAGCCACGTTGCTGTGACGTGATCTGGCCGCTGAGCGTAGTCGTTGACACACGCAAACACGGGCTGACCGCCAATGTCACCGGCAATGCACCACCCTTGCATGCCGGCATCGTAGTAGAGGAACAGGTCCCTGGTAATTGGGCGGGAGAGGCCCATCCCGCTCGTGAACGTGCGCTTAAAGACAGGCCTGTTGTTGTACACGACGCCGTGCTGGAACTCGTACGTGCCGTTGATGTGGTTGCCAAAACCCTGGCGACCAACAATGTCCACATGCCGTGTCGACACTGCAGGGTGTGTGTGTGTGTGTGTGTGTGTGTGTGTGTGTGTGTGTGTGTGTGTGTGTGTGTGTGTGTGTGTGTGAATGTACAGTGAGGCTAGTGCAACAGTGCTGGTCGTCACTTATTCCCTGCCTTGCAGTGCACACGTTGTTGTCGCATGCACCTTTCTGTGGCGAGCCGGCTGGGCTGGTCCACGCCTGCTGCATCGGCGACGACGCCGCCCGTCTGCAACACACAAACACACACACATATGCACACGCAAGCACGAAACACGGGTTGGGTGAGTTGGAAGCGACAGTGCTGGCGACATGACACGATGCGTTGTCTGCGCAAACCACAAACACAGCAAACACACACGCACACGCACACACACACGCGCACGAACAACAGCACGAGCGTCATGCCAGGTGACACACCGGAACGTGTTGTTGTCCATCTGCATGGTGATGCCGTTCCCATCGACGGTGGATGATGCGTTGCCGTGCCCGCCAAGTTGGATCACGCTGCGCCGCGGTGGTGCCGCCGCCATTCCACCAGCCCGCACAGGTGTCGACTGCTGCTGAGGTGGCGGCTCAGACACGGCGGCACGCGTCTCCACTGGCTGCTCCTGTTGCACCTCCCGCTGCTGCTGTTGTTCGTGTGTTTGCTGCACCTGCACTTGATGCTGTTGCTGTTGCTGTTGCTGTTGCTGTTGCTGTTGCTGTTGCTGTTGCTGTTGCTGTTGCTGTTGCTGTTGCTGTTGCTGTTGCTGTTGCTGTTGCTGTTGCTGTTGCTGTTGCTGTTGTTTCGCTGGCTCCTGGGGCGCTGGAGTTGATGCGACCTGGGGAGCAGGGGCGGGTTGCGACTGCACTGGTGCTGGTGGTGTTGGCTCTGGTGGTGGCGTGGACTCAACAGCTGCTGCTGGTGACTGCTGCTGCTGCTGCTGCTGCTGCTGCTGCTGCTGCTGCTGCTGCTGCTGCTGCTGCGGTGGTGGTGGTGGAGGCGACGGTGACCGTGCCTCTTTGGGTGCCTGTGGCTGCGGTTGTGGCTTTGGTTGCTGTTGCTTCGGCTGCTCTTCTTGTGGCTGCTGCTGCTGTGGCGGCTCCGGGTTCTTCGCCTCCTGCGGCACAGCAGGCTGGGCGGCGGCTGTGCTGGCCCTGGGGTTCACCATGGCGTGCATGAGCTTGACCGGCCACACGTTCGATGGCTGCGGCTTGGAGAGGAACTCCACCAACTGCAGCAATGCATGGATCCACATGTGTAACACGACGAAAGCACGCGTGAGGAGACGCCAATACAGTGCAGTTCCAAGCAGACGAATAATGTGTTGCGCACGCTGACATAATCATGGCCAATGGCTATACAGACATCGCCTATCACACACTGTAACGACACACATGCACGTAGGCACCAAACCGCACGCACACGCATGTGCGAACACAAACACAATCGTGTGTACGCGTGCAT